ATGGGGGATCAGAGTAGAGGTCCTGGCGCAACGGGGACAGGTGACCCCCCCCCCTCCTCCCCCTCCACCATTGAGGAGATATCATGTGTGGACTCCTTTCAAAACGTTCTTGGAAAATTGCTTACATGCATTATAGAAACAGTTAACGACGGTAAACACGTAACTGCTGCCAACCGAAGAAAAATCGTTGCGGCTGCCGAGGAAATCCGCTCAGCAGCCCGCATATTACCTGGCATCATTGGCGCACCACTCCAGTCGTCTTCGCAATCTCCCATCGCCTCCGATGACCTTAAAAAGGATATTATTGATGCGGTGCGAAAGGAGATGACCAGCTTTAAGCAGCAGTTCGCTGCTGCCCACCAGCCATCACCTATCATGACTCATGCCCAGGCAGTCCGTGCAACTCCTTCTCGGTCTGTAACTTTCCCGATAGCTTCCCCTCCTACCCCTCCCGTCTCCAAACCCGCCCTCATCGTATCATCGAAGAAAGAATCTTCATCTTCTTCTGACACGTTAAACTGCTGGAGGAAGAACGTGTCCTTCCGGGACACTAACTTCGCCCCGGCGGGCGTCCACTTTGTCGCGAACGGCAAGCTGCGCGTCGAGTTCGACCGTCCAGAACAGCTGGAGGTCGCTATGAGGAAGATTGGAGAGTCCAACCCCGAGATCCAGGCCGAAGTCTCTCGTAAGTTAAGACCTATGTTCATTGTCAAGGGTGTTAGCTCTGATATCTCCGCCACTGATCTTAAATATATCATCATTAATCAAAACGAAAATATCAAAGCTAACATCCGAAACGAAGCCGACATTGAGTTTAAGTTTAAACGACCCAATAGAAACTCGAACCTTTATAATGCCGTATTTGTCTCTGCTCCTTACCTTTGGCGTCATGTCGTTCAATCACTTAAGCTCAACGTCGACCATCAACGTGTTCACGTTGAAGATTTCACCCCGCTCTTACAATGTTTTAAATGCCTCAAGTTTGGTCACACCCGTAAATTCTGCAAGACCGAGGAGACCCATTGCTCCCACTGTGCTGATTCCAACCATGAATTTAAAGATTGCCCTGTCAAAAAAGACTCTCATAAGCTAACGTGTTACAACTGCAAATCATATTATAAAGATAAGAACAGTGAGAGCAAGGGGCCTCTAGATCACGGGGCAGCTTCAGATGCTTGTCCAAGGAAGCAGTTTATGGTCGGCCGAACTAAATCCAAGGTTGATTATGGATCATAGTTCTTTAAATTATAACACCCTTAGTTCTACATATATCTCTAACAGTAACAATTATAAAAATTCCATACAAATCAACCTTGGACGTAGTCGTAACGCTCTACACGAGCTTCTTACTTATATTTCAGATAGCGCACCTGAGTTTGTCTTTATTACTGAACCGTATACTAGTAACATTGACTCTTTAAAAATGACTAACTCTGACTATACACTTTATCAATTCCCTACTTCCCGTCCCACCCTTGCAGCCCTTGCTATCCGAAAAAACACTATTTCCACCCTTGGTATTTCGTCGCATTCCACCTCTAATCTTTGCATTGTTCAATGCAGAGATCGTGTCTCTAACAGAAAGATTTTTCTTATTTCTGTGTACATAGAACCTCGACATGACGTATACAATACTTTAACTAACTTAGAACAATTTATTTTATGTAATAATAACGCATCATTTCTAATCTGCGGAGATTTTAACGGCTGGCACGGTTTATGGGGTTCTAGAGCTAACAATGATAGGGGAGATCTAATCTTTGACCTTATCTGCAATAATAATTTCATTATACATAACACAGGCAACTCACCTACATTCCACACAGTCACACACCAACTTCCACGCCAATCAATCATAGATCTCACACTCACTAGTAATTGCTCACACATTCATATAAATAATTGGTCAGTTAATTCCGGTCTAATAATCAGTTCAGATCATTTTCCTATTACTTTCAAAGTTTCATTTAATAACATTGCATTAACTAAAAACAAAAAACTCTCTACATTTAGATACAACACAACCTTCATTCGTTGGAAGGACATACAGGACAAATTTGCAGATGAGGTCGGGAGGGAGCTCCCCTCCGTAGAGGCCATAAACTCCGCGAACTCACATGACCTAGATAATATTATTAACAAACTTACCTCGACTTTACAAAAGACATGCGACAAGTTACTCCCCCGGTCCCGTCATGCCCCTCCCAAAGCTCCCTTCTGGAATGAAAATCTACAGTTATTAAAAGAAAAGGTTCTTCACGCACACCACAGGTTGTGTCGATTCGTACGACGCAAACTACCCCTGAACGAGGTTATCGCTGAGAGGGATAGAGCTCGAAGAGAGTATTCGATTGCTTTCTGCGCTGCCTCTACTGAACATTTCAGAGAATTTTGCACCAGGCAAACTAAAGAGGATGTCTGGTCCGTTACTAATAGAATCATTAAAACCAAACCCCTTTCCCAACCACCCTCTACCCTCCGCCTCAGTGACGGCTCCTATACTTCTTCTACATACGACACTGCTGACGCTCTTATAAACAATTTTTTCCCCGACGACACTAATGACGTAACTGACACTCAAACCGCTATTAGGGCATTAATGAGTCAATCTATTAATACTCCCTCCGAACCTAACTTTACCTTAACTGAAATACTTAATGGACTCCGACAAATGAACAATAAAAAAGCCCCAGGAATTGACCATTTGACCTCTGACATATGTTTACAGTTTGCCACTAGCTTTCCCGAATTCATTACAGCTTTATATAACAAATGCCTCACGCTACAACATTTCCCACGTCCCTGGAAACACGCTGTAATTAAAATCATCCCTAAACCCGGCAAAGATAATTACTCCCAACTATCCTCCTTTCGCCCTATTGGACTCATTAATGTCCTCGGAAAACTACTCGAAAGACTTATAATTGACCGACTTACCTTTCACCTTAATCGACTACAACTTAGCAACCCTAGACAGTTCGGGTTTAAACAGCAGACTTCCACCTCTACAGCAATTATTACCGCTCTAGATTTAATTAGATCTAAGAAGGCTAACGGGGAGCACGTTATCGCTGTCTCCCTCGATATTAAAGCCGCGTTCGATAATGCGTGGTGGCCTGCTGTTTTTGCCCGTTTACGACACTACGACTGCCCTAGTAATATATATTATATACTCCTTAGCTATGTACAAAATAGAACAGTAGGCATTGACTTTTCCGACATATCTGCGACTAAGACTATGTCTAGGGGTTGCGTTCAGGGTTCCGTATGTGGTCCCACTATGTGGAACCTAATTATGGACGAACTACTTGACATTGACCTCCCCACTGGTTGCCACATTCAGGCCTACGCTGATGATGTCCTACTCATCACTCACTCAACATCCCTCTCCGACTTACAGACTATAACTAACAATGCACTTGACTTAATCTATAACTGGGGTTCAAACGTTAAATTACGCTTTGGCCCTGACAAGACAACCCTAACCGCGTTCACTAATAGGGCAAACTCAGTTAGCGTTATTATGAATAATGTACAGTTAGAATTTGTAAGTAGTTTTAAGTATTTAGGTATAATCATAGATAATAAGTTTAAATTCACTTTGCATTCAACGTATATCATCGAAAAAGCTAAGAAATTGTTTCATAAATTATTATTATTTACTCGGCCCACTTGGGGCATCCATTCCGACAACATACGCACTATTTACGAGCAAGTAATTATTCCTATTATCTGTTACGCCGCTAACATCTGGTCTAATTCATTAAAATATAAATTCATAGCTAAAAAATTCTTATCACTACAACGTTTATTTGCTATTAAGATAGTACATGGTTTCCGCACTCTCAGCACTATTACTTCTATTTCCTTAGCTCAACTTATCCCTCTCCCTGAAAAGATAAAGTCCGTCGCCACCATCGAAACCTCTAAACACCTTGGTTACTCCTCTTTCCTTCCCTCTGATATTCCACTAGAAAAACCTTCTCCCCCGTCGTCTCTATTACATCCGTCCCTTCGCACACCTATCACCTTCACCGAGATTAGCTCGATGGAGGAATTCTCATCCCTTAGTATAAATTATTCCTACCATATATTCACAGATGGCAGTAAACACGATGGCGTTGTTGGCGCGGCATTTGTGGCATTTGATCCATGCGAAGTTTACGTCACTAAAAAGTTTAAGTTACACCCTTCTTGTTCTGTATTTCAAGCTGAAATGCTTGCAATCCACAAAGCATGCGAGTGGATTGCCTCCAATAGTAATAACATTAACTCCTGTATCATTTTCTCAGACAGTAAATCTTCTCTACAAGAATTATCAAACCCATATTCATATAATACTTTTGCCGTTAACATCTTTCACCTCCTACATACCTTATCGTCTAGCAATATTAATGTCGGCTTCGCATGGGTCAAGGCACACATCGGCATAGCCGGCAACGAGATCGCTGACATTGCTGCGAAATCTGCTGCCTCCCTTCATAAATCACCTGACTTTGTTCACACCCCTATTTCCCACATTAAACTACTATTACGCGACTCACTTATGGACTCGAGGAAATTATTCTACGAACAACCACTTACCTCATGTCATACTAAAAAATACCTTCCGACATTTGATGACCTCTCCGCATTCCTCTCTGTTATTAAACCCTCTTTTGCCATAACTCAATTTCTTACAAATCACTCCTTCAATAAATCTTACCTTCATAGATTCAACATAACGCCCGACGATCTCTGCCCTTGTGATAGTGCTGAGAAACAAACATTTGATCATCTAATATTCTCCTGTCCACGATTTAGTAACACCCGTTTAGATTTCTATATTTCTTGTAATAATTTTAAAATTGACGCACAACAACCTTTGTTTTTAACCAAAGTAATCAAGAAATGTGAAACAACAGATTTATTCGTTAAACATATAGAAAATATTGTAAATAACCTTAAAGCATTTAATAATACCTAGGCTAATCTAATTTAAGTCAACCATTGCTATTATTAAAAATTAGTTATAAGTTAGTTTTAAGTTAATATTGTAATCTTAATAAAAAACCCTGTTTGCGAGTCTATACACCAATAAATGTACACACACACACACACACCCCGAGAATTCTGGCGTAAACCATAAGCGCCGTTTCTAAAGTCTTCGGGTTCTCTCTCCTCCTCGGCCCCGGAGCAATGCTGCCGGGGATGGTAGGCTTAGTAGGACCCAAACATAAAAAAAAAAAAAAAAAAAAAAAAAAAAAACCTAACCTAACCTTTTTTTTTTTTTTTTTTACTTGGAGGAATCGAGTCTTTACCGACGCCCCCGCCGGGCCAAGTGCAATGGCGGGGGGAGTGTGGGGGTCAACCGCTAGTCGGCCACTACCCACTAAACCATCCAAGAGCCCGTCTGCCACTGCTCTGTTCGGTCAAGGGGCTGGTATCAGCTAAGCCTTTGCCCAGCCCCGAGCCGAGGGCAGATGTCGCACAGCTTGCGCGCGCGTATCGCCGTCTTGGCCTTCTTCTGCCTATGTTTCCATAGGAGCCCCTGTTGGAGGGGCCTTGGCCCCATTCGTGGGGTCCTTTTTGCGCGCCCTTTTGGGAGGCGCTTTACACTTAGCGCCACCCAACTTATGCTTCGCGTCCTTGCCGGCTGCAGCGCATATTGCGCAATGTGGCTCGGCCGTGCAGGACGCGGCGACATGGTCGGGCTGGCTACATCGGTAGCACAGCCGACTACGGTCACATTCTGTGACACAGCGGCCCGCGATGTGTCCGCTCTCCAAACACTTGTAGCAGCGGAGTGCCCGGGGTTTCGCCACAGTCACCTTCGCCACCACCCATCCAACGAGGAGCTTGCCTTCTGCAAGTTTCTTCGCGACTTCGATCGGAGCCCGTACCCAAACTGAGTACGAACCCCACCTGTCGTCCCTCTTCTGGCCAATCTTCACGTCGTTGAATTGGCATCCTCCTTTTTTGGCCACTGCATCTTGCAGTTCCAATTCGCCGACCGACTCGTCGATTCCTGAGATCCTGATGTCTACAGTCTTCGCGGGCCGCGTCACCTTCATCTTTCCGCCGAACAAGGTCCCCAGCTTTTCAGCCAGGGCATCGGCTTTCGAGCCGCTGTTCGCCCCAGGGAGCTCCAGAACTGTGGCCCCCGTTGCCGCCTTGCGGACTCTGAGGGTCTCAAGACCCGTTATCTCCTTCAGATCTATCTTAGACCTCGCGATGAGCAGGGCCTTCTGATACGT